CTCCTTCTCCCCGTGGTCGTCGGCGTCGTGGGCATCTGCCTCGGCGCCCCCGCCAGGCGCACTGAGGTTGGCCTTGCGGCGATGCACAGAACGCGGGCGTCCGCGGCCCCGTGGACGATTGTTGCTCCGCTGGCGGGAGGGCGTTGGGGCTGCGTGGGAAGGGGCGTCGAGAACGTTGATCATGTTCTCGTCGTCCAGGGTGGTGTAGATGTCCTCCAGAGTCATGGATGTCGCGAGCGAGATGTCTAAAGTGGTGTCAGTGCGACTCTCCGAGCGTTGCAGATACCACTCACCTTGGAGCTTGACGTTGACCGGTGCATCCTGAAGGTACTTGAATACCGACAGCCGCCAGTATCCCTTGTATGTCACAGCGCCGAGGCCGGAAAGAGGTTTTTCTGGAGATCCCGTCCTTCCTTCTTTCTTTGACAGCAGGTAGCCTAAACCATAGTCAGCTCAGTCATGTATGGGTATCACAAATACACTCACTGAAATCGATCAGAAGCTGGCCCCACCCCTTACGCTGCCGCACCGGCAATGTCATGATACAGCTGACGTTGTTGTCCATGCTCCTCTTCTCTTTCGAAAAGTACCCGACAAAACGCGCACCGAGGTCGTCCACCTCAGTCATGACGTAGAAGAGAAACGGCTCGACGTCGTAGTAGAGGGTTTTATGGTCGAGAAACATCTTGGCAAGGAGACAGAGGTTCTGGCAGTATATCTGCGAGGGATTAGCTCTGGGACTTGGTTGTAGAAGGCCAGCGTACCTTGTTCTTGCGCCCATCGACTTCAAACACTGACACCGTCCCTTCGCGGTATATCTCGTCGCCCGGCGGATGCCGCACCTTGCATTTTAGCTGATCTCTTGTCAGCCCTCTTTGTCCACTTTCAAACAAGTTCTTGACTCACCCGATGTCTTCCCGCCGCAAATCCGCTCTTCATATACTTCAAACAAAACTCGCACAGCCACAACTTCCCATCCGGCACATACGCGTACTCTTCGGGGTACGGCGCCGAGTACCACGTATCGATATCGTACGTGCCAAATCTGATGGCCTTGATCTTCTCTGGGCGACTTAACGCGTGGTGCGCCGTGTACCCGTGATTTGAGTCGAAGGAGGGCCCAGGGGTGGAAGGAAAGGGAAAGCCAGAGCCAGTCGCAGACTGGTAGAGCACGCGGTCGCGCAGAGGGCGCGACGGCCCGCCATTCGCAGGACCAGGTGTCCCCACGCCATTGCCCTTGCCCTTACCCCCTGGAGTGGGGGAAGCTCGCATACCCGGGCTCGACATTGGCGATGCCACCGCGGCTTGCGGATCCCACGCTGCTGGCGCTGGCCCGCCGAGCTTCATCTCTGCTGCTCTTCGCGCCGCTTCAAACGCCTCCTTGTCCGCCTCCTGCACTGCCGTCTTGGACGTATCCGCATCCGCGCCAGTGATCACCCCGCCGTACGGCACTTTCTCCTCCTCGGCCTCCTCGAGCTGCCGCTTGGTATTCGCAGATGGAACACGCAGCCTGACTATCATGGGTGTGCCCTCAGGGGTGGCAGAGGGGCCCAAACCACGGTTGTTGGCCTTGGGGTTGGGGATTTTGACTTTGAGTCGCGGGGTGGGGAGCGGGGGAGCATCGGTAAAGACGCTGTCATCGTGCGATAGGACAGAACGCGCACGGCTGGCAGTGGGTTTACGCCGGGGGGTGGGAATGTCTTCAAGGCGGGGGGATGGGCGGCCCTTGCCCGGACGCGAAGATGAACGAGCAGATTGATGTGGTGGATGGGAGTTGGACTGCGATGATGGGGTTTGCGAGGGACCGGAGAGGCATGTCGGGCAGTGCCAGGAGCCTTTGAATGTCAGCTGGGCCTCGATTTGCGAAAACTCACCTTTTGGAGGTTTTGCTAGTCGTGGTACCAAGCAATAGCTATGCCACCCACGGTCGCATGTGTCGCAGAACATCAACCTCGACTGTATTTTCGTCAGCGCAATTTCATGCAGCTTTGACGGTCGACTTACGTCATCTCCCTTGATATGACACTTCTCGCACGTTTTACACTCTATGCAACTCCAGTCATACATCATGACCTTCTTCCTCAGCTTCGACGTGACCATCCCGAGACACGTCGGGTGCCCACTCCTCCCGCAGCGGCAACAGCTGACCATTCGCTCCTCCACGCCCTGCTTGTTGACCTGGTCCGTTCCCCCGCAAAAGCTGCAAACCTCCTCACGCTGAACCACGCCATGTTCCACCGCGAGGTGAGCGTGCGGGGTGACGTGGGAGTGGGCGGGAGCTTTGCCCTTGCCTTTGCCTTTCGACGGGAAGACGCTGCTCTGCGGGGTAGCGGCAGTGGTATCGTTCCCGCGTGCTTGTTTGTCCTTGCCCGGCCTACCCCTCTTCTTGGTAGTGCTGGACGCAGGAAGAGAGAGGGACGAGGATTGAGAGAGATGCGACGATGCGCGGGGGAGTTTGGTAGGGAGGGGCGGGTAGGAGCGCGAGGTCGAAGACGATGGTGTGGCCGATGCGCGCTGGCGGGAAGGGATTGGTGGGGGAGGATGAGATAGCGAGTCGATCTGTATAAGAGTCCGTCAGCTGGAGATACAACGTACAGCCAAGGCCAAATAACAGCCGCACGCGACGTAATCTTCACGCGACCAACATGAGTAGGACGTACCTCGTCAAAGGGTATCAGCCCCATCTCGTCCTCGTCGTCCACAAGTTCCCCTTCGGCATCTTCCATGTCGTCATCCTCCTTCTCCTCTACATAGGGGTGCTGCGCCGAGGACTGCATGCCTGCAGCGTGGGCGTTTTGTATGGTTGTTGATCGATTGATGATTACGGGACCGACGCGACTGACGCGAATGACTGTTGTGTGCTCAGAAGGGGGAGGGGGTGAGGCGTGACTGCAGAAACATCTGTGGTGTTGCAGCCATGCGGGTATCTAGTCGGGTGCGGGGAGTATGGATCGTCTGCTGGATGTATGGTATAGGCAAGTAAGTCTACAGCAGCCACAGGCATGCATCAGACCCAGCTCACTGCTGACCGCAACCGGCTCGAGCCTCGGAGACGAAGGTCGTAGTTAACGTAGTTAACAGCGCGGGGCGTTAAGTAAGCTATAACACGTCACTCTCCATCTCGCTCGTCTCTGCGACTCTCTGGCTCTGGCTTTTCCTTGCATGTCCACCCGTCCGCTGACTTCACGTACCGCCTTTACGCATCCCATCCAGCATCTACAGCTCCCCTCCCACCCTCCCTTCGTTGTCAACGCCCAACCTCCCCGACATGTCTGTCCGCAAGTCTCCTCCCCCCTCAGGCCCCGGATTGGCCGTGGCAAAGCGCGCGCGGGTCGACGATGAACAGGAGGACTCCGACACTATGGTCATGACCGTCGCGTCATCCGGCGAGGGGCAGAGGAAGAACGCATTGATACGGAGTGTGAAGAGGACGAGCGGTCTGGAGGCGCCAATCGTGTCGCTCTCGGGGGCTCATGGGGTGGGTGCGGCTTCTTCGCGAAGGGATCATAGCTGATGAGGAGCGCGTGCAGGGAGAGATCACGGCGTGCAAGTTTGACCCCTCGGGACAGACTCTTGCGGCGTGCTCAGTCGACCGCAGTATCTGTGAGTCAATCCCGTCATTTGTATGGCTTGAGCTGAAACCTTGCAGCGCTCTGGAAAACGTACCCTCCACACCAAAACCACGGGCAACTCCCTAATGTCCACAAAACTGCCATCCTCGACATTGCCTTCTCCCTAGACTCTGAATCCCTCTACTCTGTGAGTAGCGGTGTGTACTCATCATGCGTATATAGCTGACACACCACAGGGATCGGCCGATGGAGTTCTCATAGCCACCGACCTCCGCACAGGCGAGCGCTTCGCCCGCTATTCTGCCCATTACGGCCCATTAAACTCGATTGCCGTGACCATCTCTGGCGGGCGGGAGCTCGTTTTGACAGGCGGTGACGACGGCACAGCGCGGGTGTGGGATCTTAGCTTGGACACAAAGGATCCTGTGGCAGAGTTCAACGACGAGCGGGACTGCCCTGTGACGGCTGTCGAGTGGAGCGCGGACGGGAATCAGTGTTTTGTTGGCGGTGTGGACAACGAGATCAAGGTGGGTTCTTTTCTCTCTCCCTCATACCCTAGCTCACAATTGCACAGGTGTGGGACCTTCGAACGGAGACCATCCTCTACACACTGCGCGGTCACACCGACACGATCGCCTCCCTCTCCCTCTCCCCCAACGGCCACTTCCTTGCGTCCTACGCGCTCGACTCGGCCCTCATCATCTACGACGTTCGACCCTTCTCCTCCGACCCCATGCGCGTGTACCGCTCCCTCACCGGCGCGCCTGCAGGCTTCGAGCAGACCCTGATACGGTGTGCGTGGACGAGACATGATAACGGCGCGCGAATAGCCGTCGGCGGCGGAGACAGGACGGTCACTGTCTGGGAGGTAGAGACGGGCAAGGTCGTATACAAATTGCCAGGGCACAAGGGAACTGTTACCGGCGTCGATTTCCATCCCAGGTATGTCTTCATCATTGTAAGGTCACTCTGACCGAGCTGATCCATCCTGCAGAGAACCCATCATTCTCACCGGGTCCAAGGACACAAACATGCTGCTCGGCGAGTTGGATGCGCAGGACTTCTCATAGGTACTGGGTGGGTAGAACAGCCCATCTGCGTAGGTAATAGTGGTGGTGAGGCTGTCTGGCAGGCGGGCAGTATGCATATCGTCATTGTCAGATGCTGTGTGGTCCAACTGCCACCCTTGATTCTGCTCTGCAAAGAGTTGTGGCTCGTGGGCGACCGACTGACGCTAGGATAGTGATGTACGGCGGGACATCACTGGTGGTTATGTCCCACATACAGACAGTCACTGCAGCATCTCATTGCATGCTCATCCCCCCCGTGACTAATGAGATCGAAGTACCACAAATGATTGCAAGGAGAAAGGAGAATCCTCACCAGTCTTGGGATAGAAAGTGTTCCAGCGCTTGACAAACATGTCAAGGTTGCATCGTATAACGGTTAGTACAACAGATTCTGACTTCTAGACCATTAAGGTTGTTCTGTAGACCTGGGTTCGACTCCCAGTGCGACCTTTACCTTTTTGCATTTTTTCTACCAGGCCAGCCGGTGAACGTCGCGCCAGTGCGCGGGCCGCCGGGATGCATATGATGGCTTGCCTTTTCCTCATTGTCCTTCCTTCTTTCCTCTTTCTTTTGAGCAAGCGTTGTGCACACAGTACTACACTTGCACCCCTGCCACCGATGTATCCAATCTAACGGAGGGGGAATAGACCGTTTGCCAGGAAGCTACAACATATAGATATATCGAGCACTTTATGGTACTTTCTCATGTTGGCACTCGTGCGCCCCATTAAGGCTTATTACCACGGAGGGGCAGGGCCAAGTAAACAAGCCAAGCATATCCAGATTGATACCATGTTCAATCTCATAAAGATTTCATTTCATGACTTCATAATAACCTTCTACCAAAATTGAACCCCTCCCCTCCACATCCCTATGTACACCGCGGCAGCCGGTACCTAAGAGTGTGCACATAGTATAGTTGTGTGTAATGATGAGGAGTAAAGGAGGGCGTGCTTGGACGCGATGCTGATGCGAATGAATGACTTTAGGTGGGTGATGCGGTACCAAGCACAACAAAAAGTGAGAGCGAAAACGAAAGCGATGACGTGGGTGTATGTGGAAAAGATATGGTGATGTGTGGTGTCGGCGAGCGGGGGATGTGATGGTGGAGGGTGATGTGACGGGTGGAGTGAAAGATGGTGTGAAGAGCGGTGTAATGGGGGTACGCCAGCAGATAAGAGCGACTAGCCTAGCCCCGGCGACCCCAAACCATCCCGAAGACCCTCTGGAAGATCCCCTCCTGCCTAGGCGCCTCCTCTTCCTCCTCACCCCCGATCTCCTCCTCGACGTCCCACCCGTCCTCCGCGTCCAGCGCGGCTTCAAACGTCCTCGCAGCGTGCGCCACGGGCCTCACTGGCACTGGCGCGTAGATGCGCTGTGCGGGAGCTTGAGACTGCGCGGCGGGGAACGCCCCAACAATGTTGGGCAGCGATGGCTCGGGCTCGCGAGCAAGCGATGTCCCGGCGTGCCCGTGAGACGCAACTCGCGGCGCACGCCTGCCTCGCCTTCCTCCAAACTCGTACGTCTCCTCCCCAGCGTGCTGGCGCTCAGCGTCGCCCGCATCCACGAACTGAGCGGCGATAACGACCTCGCGGTCGGTGTGCGCGTTGTACGGAGGAGGCGGGGGCGGCGACTCCATGGTCCACCTCTCGCGTATGTAGTCCGGGAGCTCCTCGGGGCGACGAGGCGGGGTGCGAGGGCGAGGGCGAGCGGGGATGTGGCGGACGTGCGGGAGACCGGGGTAGATAGGGGCGGTGGGCGCGAGCACAGAGGACGGCTGGCCCCCGAGAGGAGCAGCGGGAGGCTCGTACTCGGGTGGGGCTGAGCGGACCGAAACATCGGTAGCAGTGGGGCTTGGGGCGCGTTGCACCTGTCTGGCACGCTCCTCCTCCGCATACTCGATCTCGCGAGAGATACGCTCCATCTCTTCTTCCTCGAGTCTCCTCGCCGCAGCTTGAAGCTCTGCCTCGCGCCTTGCCGCCTGAGCCTGCTGCTCAAGCTCCGCGATACGGGCTTGAGCCCGGAGTCGTCGCTCAGCCTCGGCAGCTTCCTCCGCGGCGATGCGAGTGCGGCGCGCGGCAGCGAGAGCGCGCTGACGGCGGAGGGCAGTTGCAGCGTAGGGCTCCTCGGGCTCGACGGTCCGGCGGCGGAGGTGGTGCTCGCGCTCCGCGGTTGCGTCTCCGGCGTTGGAAGGCTCGGCGGTAGACTCGCGCGAGCGCTTGCGCATGCGAACGACAAGATTGCTGTCGCGCGGCGGCGTGACTGGAGCTTGGCTCTGAGGCTGCGGCGGATCCTCGGACTGATGCTGCTGGACGGGCTGGACAGGACTAGCCGGCGCCGGCACCGGCACCCCACTCTCCACTCCCCTCAACCACCACGCATCCACTGCGGGAATCCACTCCCTATACCCATAATTCCCCACCCAACGTCTCCACCCCCCATCTCTCGTCTGCGCGTTGTGCGCCTTGACCATCTCTCTCCTCTGCTCGCGCGCGTGGCGCCTCGCTCGCAGCATCGCGATGAATGCTCCCGCGCACATGATCGGGACGACGGGAGTCCTGCCCGGTGTCCCGCGGACGGCACCGGGGCGAATCGCCTCGATGACCGACGCGTAAGGGATGGTGAGACGACTGCGTGGGGGGCGAGCACCAACTCGCCTTTGAGGGAGGAGCGACGTGGGTGACGTGCGGCGGAGGCTGGACGTGCCCTGCGCGCCTGCTTCGCGGACGGGAAAGTCCTTGTGGCGCGGGCGACGGTGAATGGCCGACTTGTCCGGCGACATGAGCTGCAGGCCTGCCGCAGCGAGCTGGACCTTGCTGAGCGGGAGGTTGGGCTGGTAGCACAGCCTCTGGCCAGCGGTGCGGAGGAAGCCCGGGGAGAGCTTGGGCGCGTTGAAGGACGCCGAGTTCATGTCGACGTCGCTGTCCTCCGGCGCACTCTTCATCGACGCGTCGCTGTCGTAGGCCCCGCTGATGTCCATCAAGGAGGTCTCGGTGGCGGTAGCCCCAAGAGGTGTAGTCCCCTTGGGCAAGTTCTGGAACACCGGGAGGTGGACGAACGGGTCGTAGCTAACGCTGGGCCTGTTGACTTGAGCGCGCAGCTTGCGCTGCCTCTTCTTGTCGTCGCGAGACTTGAGACGACGGTTCGGCGGGACATGCAGGTTGCCCGTGGGCTTGGTGTCTGCATTGTGCGCGTGTGCATCCGGGTGCCTGGGGTAGTTGTGGTGGACTTGGACGTTCATGACGGTGACGGTGCTGTGCGCGTGCTGGCGGAAGGTTATGAACATTAGCAGTGATTGACTTTTGGGTTATCGGACCTGACTCACCATCGCATGGACCCCTTGTGTGATCCCTCCAAGAGACCCGTATGAAGCCATGGCGGGAAGAAACTGCTGACTCTTGGGCAGCGGCGAGAGCTATACGTGCAAGTAGCATGTATCAGCAGTGCCCCGCTCGGCGGGATGACTGCAGACCATGCTCACCTTGCGCGCAAACTTGTACTTTTTCTCGACGCTCTTCCCCTTGCCCTTCCTATCAGTGCCCAGCACGTTATCCGCTTCCGCCTCATCATCCCCGTCTTCATCCTCGCTCTGCTCCCGCAGGCGCTTGGTGCGCTTGGGGGTGCGAGGGGAAGCGAGGACATCGCTCAGCGACTTGTCGACTTCGTCCCCCTCATCGTCGGCGGCAGCCGCGTCCGAGCCGGAAAGGACGGCACTTTCGACGTCACTGAGCGTCGTAAAGTCGTCCTCACTCGAGCTGGCTTCGCCTTCGAGCAGCTCGCCGTCGGAGGACGTCTGAGTGTCGTCCGGCGGAGAGCGGTACTGCGAGTACGCGGTGGACGAGACGGACTCGCGGCGCGTACTGCTGGTGCTGGCGGCGTCGGCGGCGGCGGACGGGAGCGCGCAGGTAAACGTGAACGCAGCTGTGGGCTGCGGGTTGTCGGTGGTGGTGGTGGTGACGGCGGGAGCGTTGGGCATGGCTGCACTGCGAGCCGGGAGGGGTGCGATATCCCGCATGGCGATATGCGGGATGAGCGGTGGGCGGGAGGTGGAGAAGGAGACGGATGGAGAAGAAGAAGAGAAAGCGGGAAGGGAGTAAAGTATAAATGGGCGGTGAGGTGAGGGCGGGTGAGTCGGCTGCTGTCAGCGGTCTTGAAGGGCAGACTTTGTGGAGAACAAGAGAGCGATCTCCAGGTCCGGCAGGGAAGAGCACGAGATAGCGCGGGGGATCCCTTGCTGATCCTAAGATTGATCCTGGATTAGACAACCCAAACCTATTGTGGCGTTCCTGTCAATGGGCGTCATCGTCGCCGGCTCACTTTGTGTTCTCTGGGTCTGTTGTCTATTGCTCCGAGGGGTTGTTCGGAGCCTAGTCCGGGGCCGCAGCACAGCTTCGTCTTTGTTGGAAGATCTGTGAAGTGGGGGTTGTTCTGGGTGGACAATACGCCAACAGCAGATGAGGGAAGTCACGTCGCTCGGCGTCATGTTCGGCAGACGGCACCGCGACGCGTCTCTCCATTTTATACCCGCTGTCTTGCACGTCTATCCTCTGACAGCTCTTCATCATGAATACCTGGTGAAGTCTCAAAGGCGTTTCCACTCTGCTCAAGGCTATATACTCGACGAAATGGTGAAGGTGATGCAGCGCCAGAAGCCTCGTTGAGGTGCACGGCAGGGGACGCGTCAGACCGCGACCCGTTTGCCGAGGTTTCACACCGTGAATGCAACTGTACCCTCTCCACCGCCGTCTTATTGTTCAAACTTCTTGTACTCCACATCCGAAAGCCGAGACCGTCCGAGCAACATTGGCAAATCCTTGAATCAAGCATTACCATATACTTCTATGAACACCCTGTCCTCCCTCGGCACTGCCCCTTAGATCACCTTCTCGACCATGGTGATCCCCTCCTCCTTCTCGAGACGCTCACGGAAGAGCGCACAGGTCTCCTCGTCGTAGGGCGCGTGGACACCGGGCTTGTTGAGCACGCCCTCGAGGACGAGCTGGACGGCAAGACCGCAGGGGACCTGTGATTATGCATGTTAGCTGTTGCGTCATCCCACGCTCAAGAGGACAAAAGACGTACACCGACGAGCCTGGCCATGGCAGAGTGGCCGCCGTTCCTGTCACCGTAAGCCTCAAGGGTAGCGGAGATGGTGTTCTAGATCCCTGTCAGCTCATTGTTCAAACACAATTCCGCAGCTAAACTCACCTCGGTCCCGTCGGCGTTGACGACCTCGAAAGTGTGCTGAAGGAGCACAAGGTCGACCTCGCCCTCCTGGAACTGGCACTTCTCCTCGAGGAGCGCGCTGAGGGCGTGCATGATCGAGCCGCGCTGAGCGACCTTCTCGTTGGAGAAGAGGCCGAGAGACTTGCTCTTGGCGAGGAGCACCTTGGTGTCCTTCTGGAAAGACTTGAGGGTCTTGAGCTTCTCGACCACGGCGCTGTTCACAA